AGGTAAGCAGCTCAATCGTTCTTCGCTGAGGGCAGCAGCATCTCACACCACATGCCTGCGTTGACACCCCCAACCTGAACCACATTCATCCCACTATCACCCGCCCTGTACGGCTCTACATGGCTTGACGTTTCGCATGCAGAGCTACCGGTGCCTCTCGATCGCCTCGGCCCTCCGTCAGAAGGGCGACGGCCTCTAAGTGGCCTTCCTGGCGGGCCGAGGAGTTCTGGGCTTGAGGGCCCATGACTTCGGTTGGTGCTCCATACTCTGTAGGGCTCAACGGTCTGAATTCCTCAGCGAGTGCCTTCATGCTTCGGGACAGCAAGCTGGCATGTACGTCAAGGTGCCAAGTACATTCAATGCCTCAAGCTGCTACCACACCTGTCCCGACGCCAACGCCGACAGACATGCTTGGCTGGACAGAAATACGTCAAATAGACGTTGAAGTAGCATCCCAAAAACCATAACAACTCTATGTACTTGTAGCCATACAACTGCACCAGGGTCAGTCGTGATCGGCAATCAGAGTCTAGTCACCCCAGTCTAACGATCTGGAGGTAAGCACTTACCAGACTGAGCAGAACACTAGCCCTGCTGGTCAAAGCCTTGGCTGCAGCGAAGAGCGGCAGCTCGCCACAATTCGTCGCCTTCCACAAAAGCTGACTTCGTGCAGTCTTGAGAAAGCTCGGAAAGCTCAGGGTCTGGCTTCCATCTGGCAACAGCTATTTTGTAGCAGGCCTTGTGCTTGTCTGCATTTGCCTGCAGCAGACGATGGACAACTTCCTTGTGACCCCACCTCAGCTTTGCATTTATGAATCACAGACGCGCTAACACGCTCGGATCCTACCTCAGCCTCCGTGGAAAAGGTTTATGCGCATGGTACTGCGACGTTCCTGCTGGCAGGCTTACCGGGCCACTGACAGTCTTGAAAGATGTAAAGGGGCACGCTGGGCACACTTCGGCTCTTGCTATCGAGGCCAAGCATACATCCCCGCACTGGCATAGGGCCACCGATGCAGAAAGCTGGACCGAGCTGCTTGGAAGCCAAAAAAAGTGGAGACTCCCCGTCCTGTGCTGCATCAAGGATAGGCAGCCGACGGACTCACGAATTCGAGTAGGCTCGGTGCTGAGAATGCCTTCCATCCGCAACGTAGAGCTCTGTTTTCCCTGAATCGCGCTACATCGCCATGCACAGCCACCTAGAGTGCAGATTCCGACTGGCATCGCATCGACAGCCTGGCTGCCCCAGGAATAATAAGGACTCCCCAGAATAAAAGAGCAAAAGGGTACTATTGGAGGACCTGGGCAACAGCCAGCAACCCCCGCAGCAGCGGCAACAACATCAGAACAACGGTAGGTGAGCACGGAAAGGTGAAATCGATTTGCGCCAAGATTCTGCATTGCAGCGATTCTTGGTGGCACGTGCTCGTAGCAGGGCAGCCACGGTCCTCCCAGTGGTTTGCGTCGAGCAGCCAGTCCCCCGCTTAGCAATGCTCTGTCGACTGTGCCAGCCACTCACTAAACCGCAATGTGCTGTTGTCCGAGATCGTCGTCTGGTTTCTTGCATATCGGGGACTGTGCTTCTTTTGCATGACATCGATCCAATGTGCCGTTCCACGTTAGCAAAACCTCAAGAAGACGCTACATGAGCAATGTGTTACGAGTACCAGCAATTGACAAAGTCTTGTTGAAGTTGCGTGCCCGACAGCACGAGCTTGTTGAGCTGCTGCTGGTGCTGCCAAACTGGAGTAAACGCATCTGCATGTCAATGTCTGTTCTAATGCTATTGCTTGCCGTTTTTGGAGGATTTTCGGCGCACTGTGTGAAAGTCTTCACTTCACTTCACTCCACTTCAATTCACTTCACTTCACTTCACTTCACTTCACTTCACCTCACTTCACTTCACTTCACTTCCAGGAGGCGGTTTAGGCTCCTGTCTGTAGCTCTTGTCTGCGCAACAACACGGACATGCCGACATTCGTTGTAACGCCGCCCGGCCAGAACTACTCTCTGGAGACGTCTTCGGCAAAAGGCACAAATCAGTGGGTCGTGGGAAGCAATAGTGAGTAGCGGAGGAGGACACAAATCCTCTGGCTTGTGCCCAAACCAACCCGAACACATGTGCCAGCTCAATTTGTGATCCATTTTGGCAAATACTGACGGATACCGTTCTGACCTCTACGACACGCTTGCCTTAAATCACATTTCTGATTAGCGACAGCACAAAACAAAGTTCTGGCCGAAACGACATTTGATCTTGCCGGATTCTATGGTGGATGAGCTGCAGCTGCAGTCCTTAAAGATTCACGTCTCTGATGCATGCCTTCATGCTTCACTGGTTGCAATGATTGCGATGGCCGCTCGGATCGGCACAGGTTCTGATATGACGGCCATCAGTAGTTTGCTATGGGTACGGTTCCTTGCGCAAGCAGCTACGCTACTGCGATTGCCTTAGACGGATCTCGTTCTCGAAGTTTGTACCACTTCACTATTGGGATCGTGCCGGGGCTACTCTCCGCTCTTGTGTGCCCTGAATGTTCAATCTTCTTGCCCATGGTTGGTAAAAGTTGACTGCGTGGCTGGGCACATCGGAGCCAAAAAAACCTGCATAGAAGTACAAATATCCTCCTGCCAAGTGGCTGTTCGTGACCACTGGATGCTCCGACCAAGAGCGGTGTCATGCCATCGTACGCTGCTCTGTCCTTCACTGGCTGCACACATGTTATGTCCAAGAGCCAGCACGCCTTGAACCCTTTCACCGGCAGTTTGCAAATGCCGCGCTTAAACAGGCGAGGTCGGGTGATGTTGGTGCCAGTCTCTATCGCCAGTCCCTGATGCCCTGTTGCCTGCCCAATTTTTCAAACGTCTCGGAGAGCCGAGTCCTTGCATGCCTTCGCATCAAGAAGGATTTGGACCACCCTTCGCGTGGCACAGGCTTTACAGACTGTCTCGAGTGCTGTACTGCCTGACTTACAGCAGATCTAGTATTTAGAATCTAGACTAGGTGGTTGGCACAGATGCCCTCAATGTGCGTGCCGTGAGACTGCTCTCGCGATTCCGCCTGCTACCAAGATGAGCACTAAAGGGTCTCTGTCCTCAACCAGCCAAGGAGCTCATGATGATTGTGCTTAGCAGCGAGGTACAGCGGCGTCTCCCCCCAATGATTGCCGATGTCCTCTCGCCAGTTCCGCAGTCTCTTCCATCCGAGTACGACAAACTGGAAAAGTCAGCTTTCGAAGATCGTCCACGTCTGATCACACTGACTTCTTTCTCAGAACATGTCGAACAATCTCAAGCACCTCACAGCTTCTCCATCCTCGCCGCAGGCTCGCTGTGCAAGAAGTCTGCATCTGAGTATCTTTTAACTTCGGCAGAACCACGTCCTTGTTCACGCCGCTCTCGAGAAGGAACTGTACGACCTCTCCGCAAGTCCCAAGACGAAGGAAGATCAAAAAATCGGACACTGAAACTTGAAACATGAGGCCTCGATGTGTCCGTTCCTCGCGGCTTCTGTGATCGGTGCTGAGCCCTCGCAGCTGGTGATATTCATGTCCTTGGGAAGGACCGCACTGTAAGAAAGGCCTGGCACTAAGTCTTCCTGGCCGTTCCCTGACAGAGCTCGGCACCGATTGCTCGCTTGTGCAACGGCGTCGTGTCCTCACCCCCTTAACAGATGCAGGTGAGGCGCAGCATCTGCATAGGACAGAAGCTGCATCATCTCCATGTGACCTGCAGTGCTCACCCCGACACAGTCTCGAGTCTCTCTGACGTCGTATCCAAATCCTTTTGCAAGCAACTTTCCTCGCCTGCGCGGCTGGCCTTTAATGCTGCAGTTTCACCATCTGCATCTGTGGCATTGGGCTCCTGTCAGGCCCCTTCAGGGCTATACACTGGACCCAGGACCCAGCACTGCAACAATCCCTGCCACCAGCCTGTGGGAGCAAAAGAGATGCCTCGGCCTCCAGAACACGCTCTGACAATTTGTTGCTTTGCGTAGCCGTATACGTACATACCACCGTGTAAGATCTTTAGTGCACAGTAGAGGGTCTGTAGAATTGCAGAATATGGTCGCTGCGCCGGGCAGCCTGCAAAGTGCACATCGTGGAGAACATAGCCTCTATCAAGCCGAATGCCTCTAATGTGTAGCTGGACAGAATACCAAAACCTTCGCAACCTGTAGGGAAAAGCCGTCCTGTGAACCAGCGTTCTAAGTGCGTCTCACAAGCGTGCTCACTGCGACACACCGCACTATCTGGCAGCCTGAACACATAAAGCACTGACTTCTCTCGCCCCCTAATCATTCCCAACTACAACACTTCTGCCTCTTCCACGTTGCCCCTTTCCGCCGTGCGCAGAAGCTGCTCTGCGCCCGTCTGTACCTGAGCCCCAAAGCTGCCGTCTCAAAGGCCGATCGGAAGGTCCCCAGCCAAACTTTGCTCCCGAGGGGCATAAGGGAGCATGTGGAAAACTACCTCCAATGGCTTTCCGAGCGCCTGCGGCATGATCGCACTTCGCTTTTTCAAGCTCGATTCTCTTTGACTTCGCCCGACGAGCCTCCAACTCGCTCAACCATATCTTAGCATCCACGACTTTCTGATTTGGTGAGCCATCCAGGCCGCCGTTTTGCTTCGCAAGGCTTGTGAACGGGACCGTGCGAGCAGCGGGAATGCATGCTGCATTCGCCTTGGCCCATATCCCAATAAGAACGGATAGCTTCCTCACCTGCAGGTAGTTGCTGTGACTTCGAGCGTTGCTTTTAAGTCCGCGCTCTCCGCTGCTGCACGTTCGAATTCAGCATCCTGAACGACATCTTCAGTCTTCCCGGTTTCGCCTCAATCCCCACCGAAGGGCCGGATGGCTGGTTTGCCGTACTTCAGGGCTCAAGTACGATGCGCAAGGTCTGTCCGGAACCAGTGTGCATATTGAGGAATGCCTGAAATATCTCTACCACATAACCACATAGCCTGCTTGAAACAGCCGGGATATACAAAAAGCATACACTATCTTCGGACAGCACCCCACCACGGGCCCACTGAGGCAAAAGGGTCTAGCAGGCGTGCTCTTTGAGTTCTGGCTTCTCAAGAGAAAAGCCCTAAACGCTCACCGAGAAGGCCCACGATCCCCCGCAAGACCGGAGACGGACTCGCTTTGCAATGTCATTTTGCGTCGGACCATGCCTCCCATGACTTGGTGACGTGCACAAGCTCGCCTGTCCGGTTTCGACTCGCACGCTCACACTTCAAGAACAGGTTTGGGTTTATGTCTCGCATCTAGCCCAGCCCAGGCATATGAGGCTACGGCACCGCGGGATGCAGGGTTGCTTACGTCTTCGATATGTCCGGCATGTTCTCTAGTCATCTAGTTGACACACTTTAGACTTTCGGAAGCTCGCAGCTACTCCTCTCACAAAACCCCAAGATTGAACATGCTGAAGCTTGGGCTTGGCGGTGCCCAGATTCAACCTGAGAAAGTCCCCCGCAAACTCCACAAGTCCTGAACAACCCGCTCCACACCTGATCAGAACAAAGGCCGGTTGAAGCTCTGGCACGGAAAGGCCCTCGCAACTGAAACCCACAAACACCGAAGGCTTGGGCAGGCTTCGCAGGATAATCCATCCGAGCCGCCATCTATCATGAGCTGTTGTCGGAGGTAGGGGATTCCTCGCCTCGTCAAGACGCACCGTGAATGTTCTTCCGACTGTGACTTCGCGGATGAAGCAAGTTTGTCTTGCTTTGGGCGGAAACTCCTCAAGCATTCAATCTGACCTGTTCTCCTAAGCTTACTGCCACAAGCAGCTTGACGATTTTGTGGTTCAATAAAGGGAAGAAGGCTCAGCTTGCCCTAGAAAGCTGGCACAAGTCCGGGGCTGGTCTCAATGGCTGCAGACCTGCTATACAACGGAACGAGCCATTAAAGCACAGCCAACTGTTAGGTCAACTATGTTACATAGGGCTGGCATGAACTGCGTGATCGAGCAGAGCGCCCTGGTGGTCCTGGAGCGAACTTCATCTTTGATGATCTCCACAAAGCCTGGGGGTTTAGATGTGCACTCGAGCTGTGTGCCCGATCCGAACTCGAACTGCCGCCAACTGAGCCCGCGGCTGCGATCGCCCGCGCTCTTGGGCCTCAAGAGGATCTGCACAGAGCTCTGTCATGTTGTCACTGCCACCAAAGATAGGGATGTTCGGCCTACGTGCTGGAATCCTGGCAAGGCGCTTGAAGATGTCCACATACAGGGCCATGAGTAGGCTCCCGCTCCGCGAGACCACATGCAGCATGGGAGATGGCGGCATGGCATCCGGTCACAAGCTGAACGCCAGCTAGAGCAGCTGGAGAGCGAGAGAGAGCGAGAGAGAGTTCAACTTTGCGGTTGTTGTGAGGTACCCCATTGCTGCCAGCGCCAGAGGGAATCTGAAAGTGCTGTCACAGTGAGTCACATTACGTCGGAAAAAGCAGCAATCCCTTGAGGGTCCAATGGCATTCAGCAGCGGGAGGAAACGGCCGGCCCTCATTCACAAGCCCAGCAGCTGCGAAGAACCATCTGCAAACCAAATTTCCCCTAAATACGTAAGTATGGAAGGATGGTTGAGGCTCACGACCCTCCGGATCCTGCCGTCGACGGCCCGCAGCGGCGCGACCAAGGCTCCCGGCTCCGCTGGCTTCATCGAGAGCTGTTTCAAGCCGAGACACCACTCTGCTTGCTGAACGTGGTCTGGCTAGGTCTCACCCTCACCCACTGGACTTGGACTACTCAGTCTGCGGGACGGCTCCACTTCAAAAACTTTAAAGACAATCCTTCTGGTCGAGTCGTCCTTTGTGCTGTGTGCTCACATTGAATTGGTGCTCCGCATGGTTCGGCTCTCCATCGACTCCCACACGACTCAAAAGATCCTTGCTGGCTCGCTTTTCGAAGAGGCTTCCTCGTCTGCGACTACCTGTGCTGAGCTTAACCCACAGATTTCGCGGAGCTGGACGAAGCCAAGCACGGCAGCCCTCTAAACCTTGAAACGACGGCTCCAATGCCTCGCAGTATATGATCTCAACTTCGTTTGGCCAAAGCCTTGAAACTTTAGAAATCCTCGGCCCGTCGCCAAGGTTGCCAAGTCTGCTTATGTCTGCTTATCGGTCGGGACATGCGGAGGAATATTGCCGAACGCCACAAACTATGTACTTGGCATGATTAAAGGCTGAGAATTCCCTCGGAGTATAAACGCCCATGTGGCAATTCCAGCAGGTCGGGCATGGGTGAAGCCCCGCGCACATGCAGGAAGTGTGGAATAGTGTGGAAGTGTCCCAAAGGCTTGTTCGCCAAGGAAAGGCCTGAGTCGCCGAGTCTGAGGAGTCTGAGGAGTCTGAGGCATCGACTGACATCAGCAGGCGCTGCCAGGCCGAAGCTCGGGGGGGACTGGCTCGGCTCACCGCAGATGCCACCTCAACCAGCACACCAAGCAGACATACGAGAGCACATCCTCGCCACTCACCATCCTCACGACACCTCACAACCGAGGGTTCCACGGTGTTTCCCAGGACAGCGTTTTGTCGCAAAGCTCCATGCACCAGCTCGGTCAATAGCTGCTGTGCCTGCTCTCTAACTTTGGCTCCGTGAGCTGTTGAGGCTCAGAACTCTCAGACACAATCAACCCCGATTTCCGGACGAATCGAGTTTCTAGCAAGACCTTGGCCGTGAAGGTCAGGGCGAATGTTGTGCGCCCGGTGGTGTTACGGAACCTATCGAAGTCTTCGAAAGCTTATTATAACTGACCACATCTCACCCAGTGTGCCCATAAGCCCAGAAGGGCACATATGTAGGACGCACGGCTTGCTTATTCTCTACCTACATTGACCATCGACTTAACACAAATCAGACAAGCCGGCTCCTCAATGGAGATCGGCACAAGTGCATTTACTACTCTGAACGCTAATTAACTTGGAAGCTTGGGAACAGGGGCTTCATGAGCTGACTAACTTCCACCAGAAGGCTCGTAGCTCGCCGAGGCCATTTTTGAAGGGGGCCTTCTGTATCTCCGCCGGATTAGCAGGGCCACTGGTCGCGATCTGCAAACCCTGCATATATCAGAATACCCGAAAGCATCCGAAAGCCCAAGGCGGGTTGGAAGGTCTTGCCTGCGCCCACTTGCAATTTTGCTCCTTGGCAGCACCATGGATTGGAGAGTCGAGCTTCCAAGTGACTGAAAGCTCCAGAGGCGGCCCAGGTTCGCACGCGCTGGCAACCGATCCGTAGATGACCTGCGGGCTGCACTGACAAAGCAGTCTCCCAAATTCTGCCATCTTGCAAACGCCTCGGTCTAAGAGCGACACGGCTGGCCTGTCCAATCTGCAGCACAGAGACGCTTGCCGAACGAACGATGCCTGAGTCCAGTGTTTTGGGCAAGGGCGGGTCCAAGCAGTGGAACTTGTCTCACGGTTCCTGCGGCACGCGTGTCCCCCCTCATTCTACCTGCTGGGACTGCATGAGAACTGGCAGAGCACAGTGGATTTGGGAAATTTTGATACGCTGTATTTCCCATGAGATCATGTTAATGCTGGGTGAATTTATTGAAACCTAGTGACAACACTGGAGCAGTTCGCTTTGGAAGCTCTGCTACATAGCAAAGAAACTATTGGTAAAAACTTACGTAACTCTAACCTTCGAAGATCTTCAAGCCCTACAAGTGGGCAGTGCAGCTCCTCGAGCATCTCTCAGGTCTGGGCCGACAGCCAGGCGCCAAGCAGAGCCTAAGTCACCTGAAGCCGGCTTTGCAGTTCAAAGTGCTCCACCTACGTTTCCCCTTCGCATAAGGAGCTCCGAACTCCCACCCAGCACGCAGTCCAGCCTACTGATCCCCTCATCACCCTGACCACCACCACCACCACCATCATCATCATCATCATCATCGTCGTCGTCATCGTCGTCATCGTCGTCATCGTCATCATCGTCATCGTCATCGTCCTCGTCGCCGTCGCCGTCGCCGCCGTCCGCATCACCTACTAGAACAACAACGTCCACGACATGTCCATCGCCATCCCAGTCGTTTCATTTAACCTCCTGATCATATCATTGAGCAGCAAGGCCAAGACAAGCAGCAACAGCATCAACGACGGCACCACCAGGCTGCAGATCAATGATACAGATTCTCTCTTGCTGTGTAGTTGGAAGGCTTTCAAATCGTACATCAGCAGCGGTTGTGATTTGTCCGCAAGCCTTCACCATGCATAAGCCCGCTTGAAGAGGAATCAACGACCCGAAATTCCAGTTACCGAGGTGTTGAACATGGAAATCAAAACAATGTTCGCCAAGTTTCGTCCTGTTCAGGTCCTTTAAAACATCCTTCGGAAATCCCACCGGCGTGCTGTCAAGTACTGCTGCAGTCGGTTCACACCTTTAACTTTAAATCATGCAAGCCTGGTTGGCTTCGCACCAACCACCTTTGGAACAATCCAATAAACGGAGTTTAACGCAGAACGCCGCAGGTGCCTTCTTTTGACGACCTGGGCCCATGTGTACACACATATGTACGTGCAACGTGAAACATGTGACACCACCCCTCCTAAGCCAGGTGGGCTTTCAGATCCTTTTGGTTTCACACGGCTGGTTGGCTGCTCCAGCTCGTCCAGCATGACAAGCTTTTGAGGTGTTTGAGATTGCTCGAGAAGTGCTACCTCCGGCATCAGTTTGTACAGAGATCTGAGACATTCTTCTCGGCACCCACAGCCCTAGCTCGACAACACGCTCAGTAACTTTCTGCTGGACCCACAGGAACCTTGTCTGCACGTGTCTGTGCTTGGCCAGGACGGGACCCCCTTAAGGGCACAGCGAAGAGGGTCGTCCATCCCATCTCCCCCCTCCGAGCTTGCGGAGAACTTACTGTCTGTCTCTGTCTGTCTCTCCGTTTGTCTGGCTAGCTGTCTGTCTTTCTGTCTTCTTCTCTATCCTTCCATCCATCCGTCCATCCATCCATCCATCCATCCATCTGGTTCTGCTTGCTTGCTTGCTTGCTTG